TCTTTAGTACTTTACACTCTTGGAAATTGAGAATGCGAATATGGATTTTTTTTGTGAGGCAACATGCAATTATCTAATGCCAGCTCTCAGGGTAGGGAAGGCTATGAATCAATGCAAATGAAATCCTAAAGCACGACAGCCATCAATAAGGGCATTGAGGTCTAGTGACAAAGGCCTTATGATCTCTGACACTTTCATGGCCTGGGCATTCCCGACTGTGGCCAGTGGGCTATTTACATCTCAGTATAGAAAAGAATCGATAGAAAGCTGAAAAGCCCTGGCCCCCTGCACAAAAGATAATCAAAGCAGCGAACCCAAGGCGACTGGAGTAGGACACAGTGGGGATTATCAGAAATTAATTACTCTGCTGTCAGGCAAATGTAGCATCAGTGAGAAGGAACATTTGAGATGGATTTTCTTGCTGAGTCTCCAGAAAACACAGGACAGACTTAAGTCAGGATAAGAGGGGCAAGTGTCACACACATCAGGACGACAATCAAGTACAAGCCAACCTCGGTGCCCATGGCAGTCGGCTGCAGTAATCCACAGTGACTGCAAGCGGGCTGTCTGCACAGAGTCAGCTAGCAAATTACACAGGTAAACATCACTTCTTCAGAAAACTCTCTCCACTGCTGAACAGACTGTCTTCACCTGTATCTTCCAGAAAAAGGAAAGGTCATTCTAGAGCTTCTGGGAAATGGCACTGGAAGTCCAGGGAGCATCTGGTATCCCTGGCCCTTCATCCAGCTAGGAAAGGCCAGGCTTATTTTTGGGCCATCAATGAAGAAACAGTTTGCTAAGAAGCTAACAATCTAAGTGTGCATGTGACCTCTTGAGGCTGTGAGAGCACGTGTGAGGGTGATTGTAACGTCTGCACTGCAGGGTCAACTCCACTGGGGCAGGTCTCTTTCTCCTTCGCCTCTGTAACTTGAATATCCAGCACTAACCCTGGCACATCGCAAGCGCTTCGCAGAAGCTCTAGAGACAAAGGAATGTTCAAGAGAATGAATGTCCAACTTTTAAGTACTCATTTCATTCTGACAATTTATATCAAGGTGACGGTTCTGATTTTTACCTTCCAAAAGGGATTCAACAAACCAATGTTCAACGCTTGCTCAGCAGCTCATTCAAAATGCCTAGAGGACTCAATTTATAGTAACTTTTCCCTACATGAGACAAGCCTCTCTCCCTGCCATCTAAATATTTGAGGCTTTACTACAGGCCTGTTTTCTGAATGGATTAAGTCTTCTCACCTCTCCCTTGACTCAGATGCCATTAATCAGGACAGTATACAGTGAGGCTGACACTAAAGGACCCACTACGGACAACTGGGTCTTTGTGCTCTCTCTGAAGTTCGGTGTGAATCACATCAGCCGTGAGTTACTGTACTTATTCTTCATGATTCTTTGGGTTCATGATTTACATTTATATTATGTTAGTCTTTAGGATGAGGGGATAAGAGACCCAAAAAAGCACATTGAAAACCATGGACACGGTTCCTTTGGTTACCTCATAGTCCCAGGATACACTGCTGGCTAGCGGATGACACATTTATTATAAATGGTAATGTCTCAGTCTCTTTCACACAAAAGCAAACCAGGCAGAACTTCCAAATTAATAATCCTTTGGTTTCTTGCTTTTATTTCTGTTTATTTTAGCTGCAAGGAAAACCTGGCGCTTGATTTGGGAAATCAGGTACAAGAAGGCAGTGAGTGAAAGGGTTAATATACTTCCGATATGCTGTCATTTCTTACTTAGATGCAAAGAAAGTGTAAAGACTGAGTCTATAGTTGCAAGACATGAAATATGCTCCTAAAGCAGCCAGGAAGGATGACCATTCAAATAAAACTTTGTTCGTTAACTATTTCTATATGAGGCTATATGAGCTGGACATTGAGTTAGGCACTCACTGGAGACATGAAGATAACACAGCATGCCTTTCTTGCTCTATGAGCTCATAATTTCCATGGAGGCTGAGATATATATATATATAATTAATTCTGATACTCCAGGGTAGCTGTTAAGGTTTCATGTATAAAGCTAGCTTAACAAAGTACAGAATAGGAAGCAATAAAATATACTTGAGGAGGCTAAAGTTTCAGAGGAGGTGGAAGTTGGACTTCACCTTGAAGGATGCACAGATTTTTACCTGGAAAAGTCTGGAGGAAGATATTTAAGTAGATGAAATGTACAAATTAGGGGGGAGAGTATAGCCCAATGGTAGAGTGTGTGCTTAGCATGCACAAGGTTCTGGGTTCAATCCCCAGTACCTCCGTTAAAAAAACAAAATACTTAAAAAGAAAAAAGAAAAAGAAATGTACAAATTAAAGCAGAGAATGTGAAAATACAAGTCATGATCAGTAATGTGTGCAGGATCCAATGTGGATGGAGTGGAGACTATTGGGGTAGGGGTAACAAATGGGAGTAGAGAAATTGATTAAAGCCAGATCACATGGGGTTTTAAGCGTGCCCAAAAGTTTGGAATTTATCGTACAAAACTGGAAAACCATCTGACTTTTTCTGAAACACAGGAATGTTTTGGAAAGATGACTGGCTGTATGGCACACTGACAAGAGGAAACAAGAGGAAGAAGACATGGAGGTAGAGTTGCCTCCAGACTTTAAGGAAGAGATGACCTAACAAACAAAACAAGTGCGTAACAGATGAAAAAGGATGACTCCCGCCATTCCTGCTCCTCACAGTCTGATGATGACATCATGATACATCTATTTAAAACTGGAATTCTAATTCCTATAATCTCGGTGGAACTCCTGCGAAGCACTGTTTTGGTCAACTTAAAGTAGCGTGAATAATTCAAGGCATCAAAATAGGGGAAAAAAGAAGTAAAACTGCCTCTGTTTACGGGTGACATGATCCTATAGGTAGAAAATCCTTAAGATTCCATATACACACACACACAAAAGAGATAATAAGCAAATTCAGGAAAGCTGTAGGATAAAATCAATTCCATTTTTACACACTGGCAATGAACAATGTGAAAAGCAAATTAAGAAAACAATTTCATTTATAATAGCATCAAAAATAATAAAATATTTAAAAATAAACTTAACCAAAGAGGCAAGACTTGTATACTGAAACCTAAAAACATTGCTGAAATTCAAAAAGACATAAATAAATGGAAGGATAGCCTGTGTTCATAGACTGGGATATTTCATATTGTTAAGCTGACAATACTACCCAAATCGATCTATAGATCCAATGCAATCCATATTAAAATGTCACGGCATTTTTCTTTGGGGAAATAGAAAAACCTATCATAAAGTTCATACGTAATCTGAAGGGATCTTCACAGCAATCTGAAAAAGACGAACCAAACTGGAGGGCTCATACCTCCCAATGTCAAAACTCACTACAAAGCTACATTAACTAAAACAGTACAATACCCACAAAGGACAAACACGTAAATCAATGGAATAAATATAAGGGAGCCTAAAAATAAACCCTCGTGTATGTGGTCAATTAATTTTTGAAAAGGGTGCCAAGACCATTCAATGTAAAGACAAAACAGTCTTTACAACAAATGTTTCTGGGAAAATAAGCTGTATACCTAAAAAAGAATGAGATTGGACCCACAGGGTAAATCATATACAAGCATTAACTTAAAATGGGTTATAGACCTAAACTTAAGAGCTAAAAACATAAAACTCTTAAAAGAAAACATAGGAGAAAACCTTCATGACAGTAGATTTGGCAATGACACAGCACCAAAAGCATGGGCAACAAAGGCAAATGTAAAGTGAACTTCAAAATTAAAACTTTAATGCCTCAAAGGACACTATCAAGAGAGTGAAAAGGCAACTCACAGAATGGGAGGAAATATTTACAAATCATGTACCTGATAAGGGATTAGTATGCAGAATACATAAAGAACTCCTACAACTCAACAACCAACAACAAAACAAATAGCCCAATTCAAGAAAGGGCAAGTAACTTGAACAAAAATTTCTCTAAAGAATATATAAAAAATGGCCAAACACGTAGAAAGATGCTGTACATCAGTAGTCATTAGAGCAAAGCAAATCAAAATCCCGGGATGTCATTTTACACCCATTAGGATGGCTATTATCCAAAAACGTGGGAAAACTACAAGTCTTGGTGCAGATAGAAAAACTGAAACTTTCACACAACTGTCAGGAATGTAAAATGCTGCAGCCACCATGGAAAACGGTATAGCAACTCCTCAAAAAATTCAACGTAGAATTATACATGATCCAGAAATTCTACTCCTAGATATATCCCCAAAAGAATTGACAGCAGGGACTCAAACAGATACTTGTATAACCATGTTCATAATAGCATTATTCACAATAGCCAAAAGGCAGAAATACTCAAGTGTCTATCAATAGATGAAAATGGTTAAACAAAATGTGGTACACACACACAGTAGAATATTGTTCATCCACAAAAAGGAATGAAGTTCTAATATATGCCATAATGTGGATGAATGTTGAAAACATGGTGCTAAGTGAAATAAACCAGACACCTAAAGACAAATATTATATGATTTTACTTATATAAAGTACATTAGACTAATCAAATTCATAGAGACAGGAAGTAGAATGGGGGGCACCAGGAGTTGGGAAGGGGGAGGTAGAGAATGGAGAGTTTTTGTTTAAAGGTTACGGAATGTCTGTTCTGGATGAGGAGAAAGTTTGGGGAGTGGGTCGTGCACATGGTTGCACATCAATGTGTATGTACCCAAAGCCACCGAACTGAATACTGGAGAATGTTTATAATGGTAAATTCTGAGTTGTGTACACTTTACCACAATTAAAAAATAAACAAATCCAGCCTAAATTGCACTATTCTGACTGTCGACAAGTATATCAGGGAAAGAAAACAGTAACATGTCAGAAGAGACACCTCTTTTCAGATCCAGGCAGGAGTTGGTAATTGCAAAAAGTCCAAAGGCTGGAACTGTATAGGTGGTCCCTTTTTAGTAGAAGTGGTTAAGATGTTCCAAAATGCAGCAAACTTACATTGCAGTTTGAGGAGCCATCGAACGTTGGGTAAGAACCATCTGGCCAGTCTGCTGGGTCCAAGGCAGCGGACTGCCGGTGCTGGGCCTCATACTCCTTGAGCTGCAACAAGAGAAAGTTAAAGACTGAAATGGGAATAATGGCCAAGGCTGTCTACCAAGCAGTAGAGAGAACACTTTGGGCATCTTCTTCATGCCACTGTTGGTGACTAAGTGCCAGCCAAAAACACGGGTCCCAAAACCAACAGGAGACACATGCCCTGACCTACAGGTTTTAATCTAAATCAAACCAATGGACACAATGGACTCTTTGTACTCTGTGTTCCAAAAAGAACCTTGATTTTCCCTCTCCGACATCCTCCAACATCAAAACTCATCTTTCTCAGTCCAATTATAAGTTTGAAGCCCGAAATTGCCTGTAGTTTGGCCTCTCATTGTGGAAAACACAGTATGTAGTCTAGGAACACTTAAGTGAAACAGAGGTGGAAGCCTGAAACTGATTTTTAAATATCACTTGCTTTTCTTGCTCTGGACTGCCTCAAGTCACCAGTTCAACGTTAACACCCAACAAATGTTACGGGATTTATTGGGGATCCTATGAATGAGAGGAAAATACCAAGTCATCTGGAATACGTTCAGAGACATTTAAAGTTTGGGCTTAGGTTTCCACTTTTCGAAAAACACAGAAAGATAAATGAAATCTTACAGAAAATTAACAAACTTAACCTAGCAGAGTTAGATGGAGGATCTTTCAGAATGGCAAATGTGAGAAGTTCCAGGTGTGCTTTTATAAAACATGTAGAAATTTAACTCTCTACATAATATAATTACATCATCACTGCATTAAAATTCTGTTATAGGGCAGTTATTAGGCATGAATTTAAGACACTGATCAAATAATGTTCCATGAATCAAGATACCAAAAAA